TAAACCCTAAACCCGAAACCGTGCCTTCGTTCCAGTATATAATCAGGAATGGAACAAGACACTGTCCCTCGTGGACAAGGGCCATGTCCAGCAGGAGCAGCCGGCGATTCAGGACGTCATTGCAGACTCTTTCGAAGAAGAGCTGAGCTTGAGTGCAAGGCGTGGGACCACTTCCAGTTCCACAGCCTTGGCTGTTCCATCACAGCCAGGGCGAAGGGCTGGTGCGCAACATTCCTCTGATTTCAATGTGTCCGAGGGTTTGCTTGCAGAGCTACATGCTCTCGATGGAGCATCTGTGCCACGGGAGCGTCCACCAGAGTTCTTCTTCAGAATCGTGGCAGCCGGCATGCAGAAGACACACACTTTTCTTGGGAAACAGGTGGTCGGGCTGGATCACGACTGTGTTGTTGCAGGTTTACAGGCTGAAGCCCGTGCCCAGGACAAAGCAAGCCCTTCTGTGGCTTTGAGCCCCTGTGGCTTGCCGCGACCGATGAAGCTGCACCTGCATATCTCGACTTCGACTTCCGATGAAAGTTCCTTACGTGTCTGGGGCAGAGGCGAGATGCATGCTGCTGATTTGTGTTCTTCATTGCTCACTGTTTCCTCGCCTCGGGGTGTGGATGAATGGATTCTAGCTCGGTTGAGCGAGTCAGCGATGGAAGATCCTTCGGCGGATGGGCTTTGTCTGAAGACACTTCAATCTTTGATTGACGCCTTGCAAAATCTCGCGATGGCAGAGGCGGTCGTGCTTCTGAAGCACCGTGGATGGTTTCTGCGTGAGCTGTCCCCAGGACAGAAGTTTGAGGGTTGGATGCCGCAAAGTGAGAAATATATTTGGTGTCGTGATGGTCTGCCGAAGCATGCTACGTTGGTGTGCTTGGTGCTCAGCCCGAAGATGTTTCAGCTTGGGCTGGAGCTGTTGCCGCTTAACCAGCCTGTGCAGTACTACCAGACGTTGCTGGCTCTTTTGAGAGCTGGGTCCTCGGAGCTGGGAAGACTCAAGCCAGGCAAGGGATCAAGGTATTACACGCAGTTGCAGAACGATCCATCCAACTGGGCGGCCGCTGAAGGCCCAAATCGATCATCGCTTGCGTCAGCCGTCCAGCGGCCTCAGCCTTCTGATGCATTCGAGCTGGAAGACGATCGTGGATACACAGGCCACGGAAGCAGTAAATCAGATAATTCACTTCTTCATGTTGGTCTTGATGTTGGTAGTTGTTGCTCTGCACACAGACTTGAGTGATGCCTTTCTTGTTGTTCCCGCCATGTGCAGGCCGGGGCCATGGTTCCAAAGAGCCGGATCCGGCAGTTCAGCGCCGCAAGCGCAAAGCATCCAGCAGTTTGCCTGGCGTTTCCGCAAAGCAGAAGGGAGTGAAAGGAGCTCGTCCTCCTGGCCCAGCCGGCCAGACTGCGCCTTCAGCTTTGAATGTTGCGGAAAACGACGGGGGTGAGGCGGGAATTGCCGATGCAGCCGCTGCAGCAGATGAAGCACTAGATTGGCTGACCACCGAAGCAGCTCCGGCACCAGCAACGCCGGGAAGTGCACGTTCGGCCGGTGCGCAGAGTCTGGAGAGTCTGGACATGCTGTCCGAGATTGATTCGCTAGTGGCTGCAGAAGAATGGGCTGAAACTATGAAGGTCGTAGAAGCTGCTGAAGCTGCAGAGGCTTTGAAGCTGGTGGAAGATGCCGTGGCCAGCTCTTCTGGTCATTCTGGTGCGCCTGCCGAGGCTCTCGACTCTCGACCCTCAAATCCGGTACTCACGGTAGTCACTCACTCTGTGTGTGTGTTGTGTGCGTGTGTCTGCCTGTATCTCTCTCTCTCTCTCTATCT